AGAGAGAGAGAGAGAGAGAGAGAGAGAGAGAGAGAGAGAGAGAGAGAATGAATACAGGAAAGTCTCAGTCCTAAGAGAAAGTAGGGCTCCGAGAATTAGTAAAGGCTTCCTGAGTGGTTTTCTGGAAAAGGGGAAATGTTGGATTCTTCATCTCCTTTCAAACCATAGCATAGGAGGGATGGGGTTAAGACTAGTGTATCCCTGAAGATCTAGGCAAAAGTGAAGGGAGGGATGACCCTCTTTGCTTGTTCTCTCTGGCTACACTCTAGTGTCCTGTTTGTTGTTCTCTTGTAGAAAAGATACTGCCTCAACTGGTGCTCAGCAGGATGTCTTGGATGCTGCTCTCTTGTCTGTTGTTAATATTTCCAGTACAAGGTATGTATTCTCTGCTCTAGTACTGAATTATCCATGAGTGTTAAGCACCAAGGAGCAAATGAGTGCTCTTATTAGTTTCATGTGGTAATTGTGACGGGTATCCACACTGGAAAATCACCTGCAGTTCATCTGTCTTCTTGCCTTCTTCCCCATTGCTGATAGTGAAAACTACCACAGTTTATCACCAGCACTGGATTGAGAGGGTTTCTATTTTGTCAGGAGGCTCTGAATAATGATAGTTTTTATGTTGGAGAAGGGAAGATGAGAGTCACTAAAGAAGTATACAAATAGACCCTGAAGAGAAAGAAGTGTCACAGACCATAGAATGTTTAGGAAGTGTAAAATTAGAGAAGCTCTTCCACAGTGAAAATCATTAAAAAAAAAAAAAAAAAAAAAGAAGCACCTAGCTAGGTATAGTGATACATACTTTGAAAACCAGCAGTCAGGAGGCATATTCAGTAGGAAATCTGTCAGTAAATTCAGTAAATTCCAGGACATCCAGGGCTACAGAGAGACTTTGTCACAAAGAAAGCAAAAACAATCAAGTAGCAGAATCACAAGAAGATAGTTTAGTGAGGCTATCACTGTCTTATTTGTAGTTATCCACTGTTCAAAACACAGCCTTTGTAAGCATTCTCTTGAATTTACCTCCCCATCCAGTTCCCACTCTCCAGTTTATGCCATCACTCACTTTATCTCTCTCCATCCCCAGGTGAAAACTCCCAGAAGGAAATGCCCTCTCCACGTACAAGCTGCCCAATGGGCTCCAAGGCTTATCAGTCGCATTGCTATGCTTTGGTTCTGACACCCAAATCCTGGTTTCAAGCAGATGTAAGTGATAAAGGGTGGGGTTGAAGATGCCTGCATAAAGTGCAAGTTGGTGACAAGAGAAGAGGCCTTACATTTCCATGGTTCTGTGGGGGAGGGGTCAGAATAACTGTTCTTTCTTTTATGTAATCTTTCTACTCACACACATCTACCCCACCATTGGACAATGGCATTTCAGTCTCTCTCTCCCTCTCCCTCCGCCCTCCCCTCTCCCCCTCTCCCTCTCCCATCCCCCTCTCCCCCTCTCCCTTTCCCCTCTCCCCTCTCCCATCCCCCTCTCCCTCTCTCCCTTCCCCCTCTCCCTTCTCCCTCTCCCTCTCCCTCTCCCTCTCCCTCTCCCCTCTCCCCTCTCCCTCTCCCTCTCCCTGTCGTTCTCCCCTCTCCCCTCCCCCTCTCCCCCTCCCCCTCTCCCTTCTCCCCTCTCCCTCTCCCCCTCTCCCCTCTCCCCTCTCTCCCTCTCCCCCTCTCCCCCTCTCCTCCTCTCCCCCTCTCCCACTCTCCCCCTCTCCCCTCTCCCTCTCCCTCTCCCTCTCCCTCTCCCTCCCCCTCCCCCTCTCCTTCTCCCTCTCCCTCATGTAGCTGGCCTGCCAGAAGAGACCCTCAGGACACCTTGTGTCTATTCTTAGTGGAGGTGAGGCTTCCTTTGTGTCCTCCATGGTGAACGGTAGAATGAACAACTACCAAGACATCTGGATTGGGCTCCATGATCCAACAATGGTGAGATTCTATTTTTTCCACTCTTTTATCTCTAGGAGCTAATGTCGCCCAAACACAATTTTCTGTGTCTCCTGTCTGTGTATAATATAAAGAAGTTCTACTACTCATGTTGCATGACATTAGGGTAAGGGACATACTCACCACCAGAGTGAAAGGCTGAATTCTATGAAGGGTCCTACTATTTAGCTTAATTTATTTGCCTATTATTGGCTTTTAAGTTTTTCTTTTATTTAAGAAAGCTACCTGGTGACTTCTTGGTTCTTCAACGAACTTTCACAAAACGTTCTGAGAGCATTGTAAATTAAGATAAGATTTACATTTATTCATTAAAATAGATTTATTTATTTTATTTCTATGTTTTCTCTAAATGGATGTGTGTCCAAGAGAAACATGTGCTTGCCTGGTGCTTGAAATGGTCATAAAGGAATTTCAGATACCTTAGAACTGGAGTTATAGATGGTTGTGATCCTCTGTATGTGTGCAGGAAGCCAATCCGTAGGAGAAGGCAATATTCTTACCTGCTGAGCCATCTCTCTGCCTTCTACTTTTGTTGTTTATTGAGAAGATACTGTGAGATCCAGAGGCTATTCTTCAATATATCATTACTCATTGTGGAGCAAGCAACTTGTTACTCTAGTACTTGTGTTTATTGGCAAGGAGGAGCCTATAGAAGATAGACATTAAATCAGAACATCCAAGTGAAAAGGTGCCTGAAAAGCATGGTAGAATGGACCAAATTCCAAGCTCTCTTCATACCTCTACTGTACAGGGTCAACAACCCAATGGAGGTGGATGGGAGTGGAGTAATTCTGATGTGCTGAATTATCTTAACTGGGATGGGGATCCTTCCTCTACTGTCAACCGTGGACACTGTGGGAGTCTGACAGCAACCTCAGGTAAGAAATGGAAGAAGTGCTATGCCATCTTTGCTCAATATATTCATTCCTCTTCTCTACCATAAAGTCTGACCTTATGGCTATCCTCCTGAACTAGGGAAAGCAGTATGAATTTGTGTCCTTCTAACTTTCATGTGTCTACCTAAGGAATGAGTACAGCTGAATGAAAGGTTCTGAGTCTAGTACAGATTATAAGGTGCCCCACCATGATAACCTCAAGAGCCAATGTGTCTCCTCTCTCTCTCTCCAGGGTTTCTGAAGTGGGGAGACTATCACTGTGATGGCGAATTACCCTTTGTCTGCAAGTTCAAGCAGTAGACAACCAACATCCTGAGTTTATCATGAAGCTCGCCACGACAAGCAATGAAATACAAGAATTCACCCAGCAAAGCTATGTTTGCTTCACAGGCATGCATCAGACTTATTATTGTAGTTTTCTGTCTTCTTTCATCCATCTCCTTCCCCTTATTTCAGGCTTTTCGGCAGGCATAGTTTCTACTTTGAAATCTTGCAGATAAGTAATAAATAAAATCTTTCATATTTACTTTTGTGTTTTACTCTCATGATACGATTTGGCTGAGAGTTGGAGAGTGATTGGAAAAGGAATCTACATGTTCACTAGAGTTTGATGTGTTCCACCTGGTGTGCTATGGTGACTGTGGACTCTAGAATGTTCTCTTATAAATAGATACTATCCTCTCACATCCTCTTTGCTTGGCAAAGGAGGATAAAATTAGCTTCCACATCTCCTCAGAGCAGTAGCAGTAGGGTAACTCAGTTAAACCCAGTGCTGTGATTCCTTTAGTTAGTATCCATGTAGTGAGCACTCAGGCCCACTCCTTATGTCATTTTAGATCTTTTGACCTAGGTCACCAGAAACTTCTACATGCTTTAGCTCTAAGCTGGCCTTCACAATCACCAAGGATGTGTTCAGGAAGATAAGATGTGCATATAATCAGCTAAACCTTAACCATTTAATTCAAACTCCATCAAGTCTCATGGTGTCAATTGTTATGTCCACCTACCCAATATTCAGGCTAGACTCTGTCATTATTGACTCCAAGCCATACCTATGAATCTAGCCACAAGGTAAGGACTCACAGATACAATCTTTAGAAATGTCAATTGCCTTGACACTCTTTTCTCTGTCATCAGGCTATGGCTCTGCCTCTAGGCTATCTCTCATGGCTACAGGAACAAGTCTAGTTCAGTAATGCTCACACATCTGAACTCTCACAAAGTTGTGGATCAAATTAAACCCATAGATTTTCAGCCCATCCAGTTGTTAGGCTATCTACTAATGTATAGTTGAAAGTTTTCAAAATGCAAAACAACGAATAATATTAAATGTCAGGATCACTGTTATCAAGAATTGATTGAACAAAAATTACACATACATGCATATATATTCATATATATTTCACATATCCATACTCACTTGATACCCACATGCAGAAATATGCACACTTAAATCATAGCACATAAAAATTAACTCAAAGACCAGAGTAATGACCCCTTTTGTAAAGGTTCTGGCTGTCAAGCTTGAGGACAGGAGTTCAATTTAGCATCCAAACAACAGTAACAGAGAATCTTGAATCCACATACATGCAACACAGATATATCTCCTTCAACACACATGTGTACACAAAGTAAACAAAAAATAATATTTAAAACTAAGTAAAATAAAAATTAACACAAATAGAGTAAAGTCTTGATTGGATTACCAAGATCAGGATGAAGTAAATGGTGAGAATTTAATGATATATTAGGCTGAGCAATAAGTTTTCATCTAAGTCCAAAAGGACTTAACCAAACAAGAGAAAAGTGACTGTGCCAAAAATAAAAAGTGTCTGCCTGAAAACCTACATACAAGTAACACAATACAGAGTGAACAGGTTATATTTAGAATGTGTGTGTGTGTGTGTACATATATACAAGCAATAACAATTAGTGAATAAAAGAGGTCTAGAATATGGATATATGGGAACATGAATATATTTCCATATAAAATGGGAAGGGGTATATTGGAGGGAGTGGAGGGAAGAAACTGAAAGGAGAATTGCTATGCTTACATTATAAATTCCAAAAATAAAAATAGGTGAAAATATGTATGTAAAACAATATAGCAGTTAAGAGAATGGAAAGCAAATCTATAGAATAGGAGAAACTAGAGATTGTATATAAAGCCAATGACTCATACAGAAAATGTACAAGGAGCACAAACAATTCAAACATGCAAAAAGAATTAGCCCAATTAAAAGCAGATGAAAGCAACTGAATAGATACCACTGAAAAGGATTTATAAATGTGCACAGTTGTATTTGAAAGACAAGGCTTAACATCACTAATTGTCACGCATGTGCAAATTAAAAGTGTTACATGGCCTCTCCTTGCACCTGTTATCAACAATGTTCATAGCAGATGAAAGACAACTGCTGGGGAGGAGGCAGAGAAAAGGGAAACTTTGTATATATTTAATAGGAAGGTAATTTTACTGGCATCATGTAAAGCATGTGGCTTCCTCAAAAAGCTAGAAATATATGTGTCATGTGATGCAGCAGACCCTTGATTAATGACCACATGGAGAAAACATGAGTATGAAATGGAACATTTTTGCCTAGGCATTTCTTTCAGCATTGCTCATATTTGAAAAGATATAGATGAACAGATTTTTTTAAATGGATTAATTTTATTTTAATTATGCATGTGATATATATATGTATGTATGTATGTATGTATGTATGTATGTATGTCATGCTGTGGAGGCCAGAAAAGGTGCTAGGGACACTGGAGCTGGAGTTCCAAACATGTGAGTCAGTGGACATGGTACTGAGAATAGAACTCAAGACTTCTGCAACAGCGTCTTTCCCAGCCATAATTTTCCTTGTATAGTATGTTCACAGTAGAGTACCTTCAGATGTAAGAAAATTTTGTCATCTTTTAGCACATCATATTAATGGAAATAATCCAGGCATAGAACATCAAATAGTGCATGTGAGAGAGTCTAGAGAGAGGAGCCTTAAAATTTCAACAAGGAAAACTTTAAGACCAGGTACCCTATAACTCTAGCAGTAAGGTTGTCTTTTTCTTCAGTGCTCAAATACCATTTCTCCGGGTCAGGAGTTGCCTGAGCTCTTCCTTATCTACATCTTTTTCCTGCTTCTTGCTTCCTTTTAGAGCTTAACATAGTGATGCGCAACAACTAGAACAACCTATTTCCCAGCCCTCCCCATAGGTGAAAATAGAGTCTCTTTCCTTAATTTATGAAATTAACTACTCAGGCCAGTAACAGGAAGTTGGTAATGTGTGATGCTGTAACCAAAACAACAGAAGGGTATATATAATGATTTAAGCCCCTTTCATCTGCCAATTTTTATTTTATCACTGCCCACTAAAGAAGCAAGATGAAGGCAGGAGATGAATAGCCTCTCATCAGTTGAGAAGCTGAGGCAGGACAATTGCTATAAGATTGAGGTCATCCTTGGCTACACAGTATGCTGTCATCCTAATCTACAGTAAAATATTCTTAAAAATTAAATCAAAACAAAACAAAACAAACAAGGCAAGGGACCTGGGTGTCATTAAAATTTCTGTTGTACAATTATGGAGATCTGTGTTCAGATCCCAGCATCCACTTAAAAATCTGAGGGTAGAGGTGTTACACCTATAGTGCTGGGGGGTGGGAGATGTCCAGTGAGAAATAGACAGGTGGTAGATTCCGAAATCTCATTGGCTAGTCATACTTGCAAAATAAATGAGCATCAGATATAGCAAGAGACTCTAAGATTAGATTTAACATGATTGAGGAAGACACCCAGAGTCAACCATTGGCCTCCACACTCATGGGTATGAATGTGTTCACTAATACAACATGCATCCATTCTAACAAAGAAACAAAACAATTAGCAAACACACACACACACACACACAGACACACAAACACACGAACACACACATGGAACACCACAGAATTTAAATATAAATAATTAAAAAATACAATGAGACAATCAAAGAAGGTACAGACACATCCATTGGAAGAAGTATCCCAATTCAGAAGCCTCAGAAAATCAAGAACACAATTTCATGCTGTCCCTTCAGTCCTGATACTTGGCAGCTATAAAATATCCTTCCCTTTTCCAAGTGTGGTGGTAAATTGAAATGGGAGAATTTAGAAAGCCTGCAGCACGGTCTGACTAACTACCTGGACCACCCTCCATGGCCATGTTCCAGCACTAGACGTAGCCAGAGGCCAAGAGCACATCATGTGATGATGTTACCATGGCGGCTGGTTCCACCGATCAGCTCCATAGAGACCACGCCCCAAAGCATGGATCTTGGGCCAACCCCATCATCCTTATGGTTCTCTGCTATGCCCCAGACAATACCTGCCATGCTTGTGGCTCCTGGTAGAATGAAGACTCTTTATGCTTAAAGATTATCCAATAGATTTATATATTTGGAAATGTTCAATAAACAAGATGCCCACATAATTAGAATTTTACCCAATATCTAATCTTTTGGTTTGTTTAATTATTTGAGACTCCTAGAGACATGGACATTTGCCTCCATTTTGCTAGCCTCTCCTCTTTTTCCTCTTCCTTTCTCCTCCTTTCTCCTCACTCCGCCTACCTCTTCTACTGTCCAATCACGGAGCTCCTCTGCAAATACAAGGTAGCAGGAAAATATCCTGCTACAATACCCTGTATTACCACCACTCAGATAATGGAGCAAGGTACTGAGCATTCATAGACATCTTAAGGCTACATAGTGTTAGTCTCTCTTAAATTCCTTTTCTTTTTTCAATTTTTTTGATAGTTGTCCTTTGCAATTTTTTTTTGATTTGGATATTTCTTTAACTGAATCTTGACTATACTCAGCCTCCTGAATGTAACTAAGCTCAATGATATTCAAAGTTGGATGATATGAGTTTCATAGCTAAAGCTGCTGATGTCCATTTTAGGAAAGGAGGTAGTGAGAGAACCATCCATTAAAAATTTTAAATAAAAAAATGATAACCTTTTGTCAGGAATATTGAATGGTAAGGAAAGATTTGTGATATTATGGCTTAATAATGTTTTTGATGGTTTGTCACTCTAAGTCATTTTTAGATTGAACACTGTTTCTCTTTGAAGAGGGAATAAATATGAAAAATTTTAACTTAAATTTCCAGTGAGGATCTTTGGAATACAGAGAAACAACACATAATTCTGCGCTGCAAAGCATTGTTAGAAACACCTGTTTTTTGTTTTAATATGACAAAAATGCACCATTGTTACAATCATATGTACTTAAATAATATTTTAATATATTTATACTAATAAAAATATATAATATTTTATATATTTAATTTGCACATCGAATATTTGGTTTTTAAAATTAATTTTTAATGTGAGCAGGAAGACTAGAGAGTTGGCTCTGTAGGTTAAGAGTATATATTACTTTGGAAGAGGAC